CCCCACTGGAGAGGGGGCTATGTTTTTTTTTTTTAAGAGAATATACATGAAGTTTTAAAATCCGTGTTTCAATATATATATATATGTATATATACAAGTTAGATATTGAAACATATATTTATATACATATATTTATATTTACGAGTGATTTTTGTTTATCTGCCTCCTTATTTAAGAGCTTCACAATAGCTGTGCTTTAGTGCTCCTTCTCACAAACTTCTCACTCATCTAACACTCATCTTCTCACTAAAACAATGCACTCCTTCCATGTCTGACATTTTTTATTAGCAGCTGTTAACCAGGAAGCAGAGTGTCAGAAATGAGCCCAGGAGAGCTCATTCTAGTGGCTAATCTGCATATCTTAACATTAAATAGAATAGCAAACATATGACAGAGTAAGCATATATAAAATTAGCAAATATTCTCAAAAACGACTTCAAGCTAAACACTTTGTTAATAAATCAATATATGCGCTTAATGACGGTACACCATTTATCCCATTTTAGTATCTAATAAAATACAATTTTAAAGGTAAAGAAAAACTGTATAACGCAAAAGAAAAAATACCAGTGCATCAACAGATTCATGTTTTCTGACTGTAGTAGTGTAGTGTTAATAGACACTAAGATAGAAATTTACTTTATGTAAAAGAGAAGTTAAATAGTCACAGTAGTCATATGTAAAAATTCCCATTTCTGTATAGAAATTACAGTGGCTGAAACAACATTTAACTATACTTAGAGCTTATTACTTTATGATGGCCTTACTTTAGACCTTATGGGGTTGATTTACTAAAGGCAAATAGGCGGCTTACTGTGTAAAGAAAACCTTGCTATGGAATTTACCCTTAGCTATGTGAATGATCTGCTGACTTCCATCATCCAGCCATGTTCACTAAGCTAAGGGAAAATTCCTTTGCAAAGTGAAAAGCCTATTTGTTTTAGTAAATCAACCCCAATGATTCAGCAGTGACAACTGTTCACGAATAGGCTTACTGGGCACACAATCTATTGTAGCATAGTAAAGACCCCTGACTCCCCAAATCACAGCTTTTTAAACAATCTTTGCAGACTAGGTGAGCTCTTTAACTCTACCATATATATCTGTATTTACACTAGGTGTTAAATCTCTTTTGCCTAAATATTTGTGTAATATGCCATTACTCGCTTTTAAAATTAAAGTGCAGGTCCCCGTGTTGAAGTCTATTGTTTCTAGCAGTAATGTGATTGTTTATACATTAATTGCAGGCTATCCAGGATCACCAGTAATTGTGGCTAAGTTTCCATCTCTGGTTAACCATCTTCTAGACATTATTGACAATCCCTGAATGGTGAAAGTCATTATAGATCATTAATGTTCGTCCAATTCAACGGTCTTTAACGATCTGCTATGTAATGGATATAACAAGTTAGAAAATAGTGTTTTAATTTATGTCTAATGATGGCCGCCAAGGAAAGCAGAATAATGGATGAAGCCGTCTCTGTAAGCTGGGTTTATTTGAGAAACTTGTACCTGCTCTTATATTCGGGACGGCTTATACTCGAGTATATACGGTATGTCTTATGTATCACTTGGTTGGAGAATAAATAGATGAAACATTGTGCAAACTTGTATGCAAGGTCCTAAGGAGATTAGTTATTTTTTTATTTTTACTATAGGAAATAGAAATTTACATAAAGACTAAATGGTTTTCCAAATCAGCAAATCTATACTGGTTTATAAGATCCACACATTTTCGTATAGCAAAACATTTATTTGCAGATTCCTGAGTGTTTTGTCACCCTTGTATCTGGTGTGCAAGAAATACAGTGTGATCTCTCAACTGACCTTTGAAACAGAACTAGTTAGGAAAACCATTGCCAGAAAATTTGATGTGATCTTGCATGTGACTTATTTTTACTTGTAATATCTAGATATCACCAGCATGCCATAATAGATTCAACAGAAGCAGTATTGTGATGTGTCATCTGCACTCCTTACAGCAATTGGACCTTGATTAACAGTGGTGGTGCTCATAGTGATTGCACGGATGGTGCTTTGTTTTCCAGAATAGTAGAAGATGAAAATCACCAGCATTAATTTGCTTATTTATTAAAGATACATGTCACAAGCATCAATAAGCCAACATTTCAGGGCCATGTAGGGTCACTTCTTCAGGGCGACATAGTAACTTGAAAAGTGGCCTTTCTCAGATGTTGATTAACCAACCTTCTTAGGCGGTCAAATGCTGGGGTCCCTATGTCGCCCTGAAGAAGGGACCCTGCTTGGCTTAATGACGCTTGCAACAGTTTCTTCAATAAATAAGCAACTTAATGTCATGCTTTAGACTGAGTGTTGGTGATCTTCATCCTCTAGATTCAACAGAAAGACTTTTCTTCTTGTCACAGGAAAAATGTGACTTTTCAAGGCCACTAGAGGACCCCCTCAATAAATCAACTTTATCAGGCTTGAATAAGGATTCTTCTATTGGCCCTAAAAAGGCACTTTTTTTTTTTTTCCTGTGAAAACAATACATGTCCTTCTGTTAAAATCCCTGTTGTTCAGGATACAAGGGCTTTAAAATATATCCTCAACACACAAATTTGTAATAGTTGTTTTATTCTAGTTAAGCTCTGATTTATAAAAACAATCATTTGGATTATAGCACCAGATAAGGGAAAGTGATGGCCACATTTAAAGTGTTTTTGCACTTTTGCAGCCACATTTGGGGTAGCACCTACTTTACATTTGTTATATGTCCCATGCACAAAGCATTGCAGCTCACCTTTTTTCAGTGATGTTTCTGCAAACTCCAGGACTGAAAAATTCTGCTCATTGTCTGGGGAGTTTGGGGGAGTTTAGTTTCAAATAATTAAACCTGCCTGTACTGCACTGGCAGATTTAGTGAACTAGATGAGCAGGACTGTCTGGGGTTAGAGGGCTAAAGACCTGAGGACTTTGTATGTTACATAGTATTTGGGGTTGAATAAAGACATACGTCCATCAAGTCCAACCCGTATAGGTCCACGCATCATCTCATTCTCAGGGATACTGGTAGGGATACCCTCAAGAAATTGTCCAAACGTTTCTTGAACAAATCTACACTCTTGGCTGAAATCACTGCCGATGGCAGTGAGTTCCAGACCTTAACCGCTCTTACTGTAAAGAACCCTCTTCGCCCCTTGTGCTGGAATTTGTTCTCCACCAACTTTAGGTGGTGGCCTCTAGTCTTTGTAATGGAGTTAATCTCAAACAGTTTGTTGCCACATCTTGTACATGAAAATCATATCCCCCCTTAATCTCCTTAATTCCAGCGTAAACATGTTTAAGGTCAGAAGCCTTGTCTCATAGCTCTGGTCCTCCATTCCCCTAATTAGTTTTGTTGCCCTCCGCTGGACTCTCTCCAGTTCAAGGACATCCCTTCTCAGTACCGGCGACCAAAACTGGACCGCGTACTCCAGATGTGGCCGAACCAACGATCTATATAGAGGCACAATTATAGACTTGTCCCTGCAATACATCCCCTTCTTAATACAGGACAAGACCCTGCTAGCTTTGTTTACCGCAGCTTGGCACTGCAAGCTACCATTCAGTTTGTGGTCTACAATGACCCCCAAATCTTTTTCTATTTCTGACTTCCCTAGCGGCATACCCATGATTGTATAGCCTATTTGTTTATTTTTATGTCCAAAGTACATTACTTTGCATTTATCGACATTAAACCTCATCTGCCATAGTATTGCCCACTCCCCTATTTTATCCAGGTCCTCCTGCAATGTTATATTGTCACGATCCGTTTCTAGTACCCTCCCTATTTTTGTATCGTCTGCAAACACGGAAACATGGCTATTTATTCCCTCCCCGATGTCATTAATGAATAGGTTGAACAGTATCGGACCCAGCACAGATCCTTGAGGCACACCGCTCATTACACTAGCCCAGTCCGAAAAGGTGCCATTTACAGATACTCTCTGGACACGTTCCCGTAGCCAGTTCTCTATCCACGTACACACCACCTCATCTATGCCCATAGCCCTCAGCTTGTGAAGTAAGCACTTGTGTGGTACCGTATCAAATGCCTTTGAGAAATCCAGGTATACCACATCTACCGGCTTCCCTCCATCCATATCTCTGCTTACCCTCTCATAGTTAATGAGCTTCTGGAAAAACTGTCCCTTAATTTGTCCTCTCATCAGCTCACAGGCACCTATTCTAACCACTATAAGCTGCCTGTAGAGTCCTATGTATAATCCTGCTCAGGTGAAACAGCTAAAAAGGTAAGAATCTTTTTTTTTTTTTTTTTAGGAATACTGTGTCAATGGGGACACAAAACAAATATATAGAGGGGATTTCTCAAATTTATCTGTAAAAGTGGAATTACCCTTTAAGTATCTAGTACATACTGTATATGTATAGCATTGTGCTTGTTTACTATAAGTATCCGTGTGTCTTTAGAAAAAATCCTTGTTGTTTTTCCTAAAATATAATACTTGATAAATGAATGAATGATGTGCTCATTATATATTCAAATTGGGCTTAGTGGGGTTTTTCAACAGGCTGTCATTTTTTCCTAAGCAAGGTACATTTCTTTTACAAAGATGCATCCACTAATTAACACATCAGTATGCAAAGGGTATACTCAGTCGATAGAGATATACTGATGGATGGGTGTGCTGGAGAGTCTCTGTTCAGTAAGTTCACCTTCTGTTGGCTGAAAAAATAAATGTATCAATGAAAAATCAATGCTGACTGAAAATTACAGATATTTTTAAAAGGATCAGTGCATATACTGTACCTGCTTTGCTGTAGAACTTATTTTATCATGTTTTATTTTTCCTTAAAAAATCTTTATTTTACAAATTAAGAAATTTGATTGAGGGCACTTCCTTTAGAATGCCTCAAAGTGAGAAAACTCTACAACAGCTTCTCATTTGGTGACTTACTCTCTCTTATTGAATATGCATATGGAGGTGTAGAACCACTGAGGGAAGAGCATTAGTAAATCACTTGACTCATTCATCTGTGTGTGTAATCTGCTTTCACGCGTTTAGCTCTGAAAACAGGCTATTTTCAAAAAAGCAGTTACATTTAGCTTGATATACATATACAAAAAAAAGCCTGGCAATCCACTTGCTTTTTTTTTTATTCCTAAAGCTTCACTTGCTGGATTGAAATAGAAATTCTTAAATATTTATATGCAAAATTTTATTTTTTGTCCTAAACATAAACAAATTATATATAGAAAACAGTACATTCTTTTGGTGAATGGGTTACTGTAAATGATTTGTGTGCATCAGCAAATATGCTAACTACACTCATTAATCACTAGAGAGAGTAACTACATATCTTTGCATCAACTATGATTATAAAAATGTGACATGGCACGCATGTAACATGGGAAAATGATAGTCCTAATTTATTTTAAATGTTGTGTAATAGTATCACAGTATGTGCCTAAATCTGTAATTCAGAGAACATTTTTTCTTGACACACTATTTGGTAAATGTAGTTTACTATGTTGTACAGTGTTTAGCACCAGCTGTTCTTGACAAAATTACTGCATGACATTAAACCTAAATTAGAGTTACAACAATATAACACTGGAATGAAATGTTTGTTTTAAATACATTTCTGAATTCCAAGCCTCATTAAGATTAGTTAAGCAGATTAACGGATGCTGGGATTTTTATACTCATCGAAGCATTACTCTCTTCCACAGTCATTTTATTTCCAGTAATGATAGGGAATAACCAGGAACCCATAACCGCTACTCTGCCTGGAGTGATGGCTATGAATAGCATGCCAAAATTGCCTGGGGCTGCTCAGTGTAGAACCAACGTTAAAATGAACTATATGAAGGTTATGTTTTATCATTGCTAATGATTAGCATGCAGATCCATAGGAGCTGAGGCTTTAATTTACATAGTCTTTATTGTACACAGTAAGCCTCAAGATAGATGATTCTGTACTTGGTTTCCTACATAAATAAATAGTGCACAGCGCTTATAGGTTAAAAGATGCATAAAATAAAAATACCTTACTTAATCTACATAGCGCAATGTGATATTACACCAATTAAAGTGCTGATAAATGTAAACATAAATATTTTTCATCAAAAAACATTCAGTGATGATAATGACATGCGCAAAATAGCAAATTCTTATCATAAAAAAGTCCACTGTATTCAGTATAAAAGTGACATGTGCAAAATAAAGTCCATATATCAACCACTCCAATCCCTAACTGAGACTCAAAGCACAAAACAAGACCTCAATCTTCAGTGATACATATAGTGCTCCTTATTCACCCTCAGTGAACGGATAATGCACAATCCACACTCACCAGAAATAAATGACCGCTTTGCAGGGTGGTCATATATCGTTTAGTGTAGTAACGATCCAGGGTAACACTTCCATAGATAATACCAGTAACCATCCAGGATATCCCAATCAGTCTCCCCTCTATACTCAGAAAGGAAATAGATAGAGCCTCATCGCATATGTAAAAAACACGCTTTATTAAATGGATAAAATCTACTCACATGGCCAATAAAAAACAATCGCATATAAGATCAAACACCATCCTTCCGTTCAGAGTCACTCTCCACACTGCTCACAAACGTGATGATGTCAGCATCTGCACCGCCTATTGATGCGTTTCATCACCAGCACATCCTTTGGATGGCGTACATGTGAGTAGTTTTTATCCATAAAGAAGTAAACAGGGTAAAGCAAGAATTATCTCTCCAAAAACCTATTTCACAAATGGTAATGGGACCTCATATAGGGGGTATAGTGAACTGTCTGTGCAGATTGTTACATGGGGTGTAGACCTTTAGCTGCGATCACTACAGCTGGGAGTAATGAGAGAGGCTAGATAGAGGTGACCACTGCTCCCAAACACAAAGACAGGCATGGTCATCAGGGACCCCTACACTTTGCTCTCACCTTGCTGCCATTATGCTTGGTGTCAAACAGGATATTAGCACAGTTGGCATAGATGATGGCTCAGGGATTCATGCAGCGAATAGCTCCTGACTCAGTGTGTGGGAGAGAATGGAAGAAGTGGGTCGCAGTAACATCTGGTGGCACACCGTTATGCTGCATACAATGGCATTGAATGGGGAAGGAATGATAGTCATGATGGTGGAAAATTGTCAGCTGAAAAGTGACTGCATCCAATCAGATGCAGCCACTGTTGGGGATTTAGACACTCAAGGTCGCTGTCTGTCTTAATGCAATAGCTGGCTGAGGAGAAAAAGAATCTATGGCAGAATGTTTAGGTGAGTGGAGGAATCTATTAGATTTATCTCATGCAGTCCACTGGCTAAACAAAATAAATCTATAAGTGTATGAATAGTCTTATTGGCTGACCCCTAAGTCATCAGTTTTGTCTCTTTAACCTCAGTAAGCAGATCTAACAAAGTTTGCTGACTCCAGACTCCTCTGTGAAGAACATGTTACACTTACAATTACTAGTGTACAGAATAAATCAAATTCATTCTGTATCAGACACTACAAATAAGATATCATGAATCTTGCACATATACACAGTAGTCACACTGTAAATAGGATTAGCCTCTCAGCTATAAGGAGTGGATTGCCTATGTATGTGCCACAGAGGTACCCATTGCTGTTCCTGCCAGCTGGGGGTACCAGGGGCAATTGAATGTGAAAGAATTGAGATAGAGCATACACTTTAAACAGGAACAGATATATTAAGTATTTTCCCCTTGTTTACTCTATTTCCTCATAAGTGAAGGGTCCCTGCTTTCTTTGTCTTTATGTTTAATCTTCTATATAAAGATTTGACATGGACAAAAGATAGAGATAATTCATTTTTATACTTTGAAGAATAAAGGCACTAATATAGAAATAACTTAGCTATTTAGTAAAGGCTCTGTAACTGAGTCTATAGTAGGAATGCTGTAACTACATGTACTCTTGACTTTCAGATATCCACTAGAAGATGCACTTATGAATGTTTTAAACAGACTTAAAGGAGAACTATGTGGTCAGGGCTTTTCCCCGATCTGCCAGTCAGCGCTGGCAGATCGGAGCGGGGAGAGGGGAATCCAGCCCCTCCCGTGTCACGGCAGAGAGCCGTGACCGGATCGAGAAGTGAGCGAACACCGGCATGTGTTCGCTCACCTCCCGATCTACTGAGCCGACCTGTGACAGTCTCATTGTCACAGGTCGGCTAGAACTATGAGGTGAGTGAAAAGCACTCACCTCATAGTTCTCCTTTTAAGCATGCCCCCCCCTCATGCCCCCTTATTTGTGATATCACTCTGGTCTGATTATAGATCACTCAGGCAGCGAGCGCTGCATTGTGAGAAGGTGAAGGGGCAGGCCCATGCTCCCCATACTCCAGATGTCAGGTTACCTCTGACAACTGCATTGGTACTTTGGAGAGGTTCCCACCTCAGTAGGTACCATACGGTGTTGAATACTGTAGGTATACCCAGACACCTTATGGTCAACTACTGTTTACCATTCCTATTAGTTTACTACAGTTCTCCTAAATACAGTTCTTCTGTAAGCAATAGTGGTATGATTTTGTCTGCATATTTATTTAATTTTGTTCTTCAGTGTAACATTGAGATGGTAATTGTAGAAAAACAAATGATAGAAAATTTGGAAACCTATTAAATATTCTATACATTTGCATATTTGTTTATTTGAAACAAATGGCTTTTCATCCCAGAACAAATTGAGATAGAAGTTATACAGTGACACAATGGTTTTTTTTATGTACACATAATATGTAAACATATTGTAGTTACTTTTACTACTCTGTCTTGTTGCTGCAGCACTTTTTTATGATTTTTTTTCATATCCTGAGCAAACTACAATAAATCAATGTGCTGAAATTATTTATTCTGAACAATAAAATGTGCAAAAAAGAGCATACTTTCAAAGAACAGCAAGCTGAATTAATCTTTGTAATTAAATGGATAGCAGAATTGCCATTAAAATGTAATTCAGTGCTAGTTTTTAGTCAAGTGTAATTGTATTAAAATTATGAGTCTGGACTGAAATGTCAATGTGAATAACACAGACTATCTCTAACAATAAACGAAAGTTGCTTATTAATCTCTTTTGTTTATTCACTGCAGATGAGGAAATAAATGTATTATTCAGTTAGGTTGTAATTCTTGCATTTGTTTGTAACCCTTTTTTTTTTAGCTCGTGGGCCAGTGATGTTTGAAGAAAGCAATAATGTTTAAAAAAGCTAAATTTTAAAGCTTTGGTTTTGCAGTTTGCTCAAAAGTTATTTAGGAAATAAATAATATTAATAACAATTACACTGTGCTTCCATGGCAGATTTGGGGGTAAATATAACCATACATATAGATACCTTTTGCCGGATATCTGAATTTCAAGAGGTGCACAAGAGAGTTAGATAGAGGGGTTGATTTGCCATGGGCAAATAGGTTGTTCACTTTGCAAGTGAATTTACACTTTGCATGGGGATTTTCGCTTAGCTTGGTGAATGTGGTAAAAATTAACTTTGTAAAGAGTACCCGATCATGTGCAAGGAAAGTAAAAAAAAAAAAACAGATAATTTTTGCTTATACATGATTGGATGATGGAAGTCAGCAAAGCTTCACCTCATTCACTAAGCAAAGGTAAAATTCCCCTGCAAAGTGCACATCCCCTTGCAAACTGAACAGTCTATTTACCATTAGTAAATCAACCCCAGTGTATCAGTAAGTGGACCATTTACCCTCATAACTCATGCATCAAAGGAAAATTATTGTTTAATTGATGGACCACTGTTCTCCCACTGCTGACACTAGTCATGCAGGAGCCTGGTGGAACATTCTGCTGTAATATTGGGGAGCGTTCCTATGTCAATAGAAAATAGAAACTCACAGCAGCTGCCCCTGCAAAAAGTTTGCAAGCGTGGTGATGATGTTGTCACAGGAAATAATAAAAAGATGTTTATCGATCCAGGAACATGGTAAAATGTAAAGACTAATGCTGGGACATGCTTTAGAAGGGGGGGGGGGGGGGGGGGGA